AGTGGTTGAGCATTGACTCATGCACCAAGAGGTCACTGCTTTGATTCCTGTTAAGGGCACATGCCCAGGTTGTGGGCCCCAGTGGCGGGGCATGCAGGAGGTGGTGAATCGATGTTCTCTCTAATTAATGTTTCTATCTCTCTCTTCCTCTCTTCTAAAATCAATACAGAAAAAGAAGTTTAATTAAAAAAAACAAAACAAATCCATCAACACAAAGATCAAAAGGTCAAGAATCCTTAAAAAATTAGGAAAAAAACTCCTAAAACACTAAAAGGACCTAGTTCTGTAGATAACATTAAAGTAAAAATGAAAGCAAGTATAGAAAAAGGTGGTTCTCTTCCCAAATTGGAAGCCAAGCATATCAATGATGTGAAGAATTGCTTCCAGATGACTGACCAGGAGGCTATTCAAGCTCTCTGGTAGTGGAGGAAGCTTCTTTTTTTTTTTTTTTATCCTCACCCGAGGATATTTTTCCATTTTTTGTACAGATAGAGTGGGAGGGAGAGAGAGGAAGAGAGAGAGAGAGAAACATCGACGTGAAGGGACACATCGAGTGGCTGCCACCCGCACGACCAACCAGGGCAGGGGACAAACTGCAACCGAAGTACGTGCCCTTAGCAGGAACCGAACCCAGGTCTCTCCAGACCGCAGGCCGACGCTCTAACTGCTGAGCCAAACCGGCCAGGGCTGGAGGAAGCTTCTTTAAGAAAATAGGTTAGCCCTAGCTAGTTTGGCTCAGCGGTTAGAGCATTGGCCTGCGGTCGGGATAGACCCCGGTCCGGTTCCCGCAAAGGGCATGTACCTCGGCTGCAGTTTGTCCCCGTCCCTGGTTGGGTCGTGTGGGTGGTGACCACTCGATGTGTCCCTTTCACATCGATGTTTCTCTCTCTCTCTTCCTCTCTCTCCCTCCGCTCTATCTGAACAAAAAATAGAAAAATGTCCTCAGGTGAGGATAAAAAAAAAATAGTTTAAACAGTTTATTAAAATATTGTCTTATTTCATTTCAGTAACAGTTGATATCTGGCTGTCCTTTTTATAATGCAGAGTGAGAACTTTCCCTACTATGTCTGATAAATGGTGTGCAGGTTCCATTGCCAAGAATGTATTGTCTAAAATGCCTGTTTGGTTTTAAAGTGAAACTCCATAGCCACAGCAATCTTGAAAAAGAAGAACAAAGTAGGAGGGATCACAATACCGGACATCAGGTTATACTACAAAGCCATTGTAATCAAAATAGCCTGGTACTGGCACAAGAACAGGCATATAGATCAATGGAACAGAGAACCTGGAAACTGACCCAAGACATTATGCTCAATTAATATTTGACAAAGATGGCAAGAGCACACAATGGAGTAAAGACAGCCTCTTTAATATAAATGGTATTGGAAAAATTGGACAGCTACATGCAAACAAATGAAGCGAGACCACCAACTTACACCATACACAAGACTAAACTCAAAATGGGTAAAAGACTTAAATGTGACTTGTGAATCCATAAAAATCCTAGAAGAAAATGTAGGCAACAAAATTTCAGACAACACACGGAGCAGAATTTTCACTGATACAATGCCTAAGGCAAGAGAAACAAACAAAAAAATTAATACATGGGACTGACTACATCAAACTAAAAAGCTTCTGCATAGCAAAAGAAACAAGCATCAAAATGGACAGGGAACCCACTATATGGGAGAGTATAATTGCCAATGATATATCATATAAGGGGTTAATTTCTAAAATATACAGAGTACTCATACAACTCAACAAAGTAAGACAAAGAACCCAATTAAAAAATGGGCCAAAATAGACACCTCTCCAAAAAGGACATACAAGTGGCCAAGAGACATATGAAAAAATGTTCAACGTCACTAATCATCAGAGAGATGCAAATTAAAACAACTATGAGGTATCACCTCACACCTGCCAGAATGGCTGCCATCAACAAATCATCAAACAACAAGTGCTGGAGAGGGTGTGGGGTAAAGGGGACTCTAGTTCACTGCTGGTGAGAATGCAGACTGGTGCAGCCACTGTGGAAAACAATATGGTATTACCTCAAAAAATTAAAAATTGAACTGCCATTCGATCCAGTGATTCCACTTCTAGGAATATATCCTAAGAAGCCTGAACCACCAGTCAGAAAGAATATATGTACCCCTATATTCATAGCAGCCCTATTTACAATTGGTAAGATCTAGAAACAGCCCAGGTGTCTATTAGTAGATGAGTGGATAAAAGAGCTGTGGTATATATACATTTTAAAAACACGTACAAGACCTGCACATTAAAAATTACAAAATACCCCAGGCCGATGGCTCCATAAGTTGGAGTGTTGTCCCAAACACCAAAAGTTGCAGCCCGATCCCTGGTCTATGGATTGGAAGACTTGATATTGTTAAGATATCCATTCTTTCCAAATGAACATATAGATTAAATATAATACCAGCCATAATCCAACATTTAAATACACACACATACACAGCCCAGCCAGTGTGGCTCAGTTAGTTGGACATTGTCCTATGCATCAAGATGTCACCAGTTTGATTCCAGGTCAGGGCACACGCCCGAGTTGTGGGCTAGATCCCCAGTAGGGGGTGTGTAGGAGGCAGCCGATGGATGTTTCTATCTCTCTCTCCCTCTCCCTTCCTTTCTCTCTAAAATCAACAAAAATATATTTTTAAAAAAACCACAGAGATTGACAAACTGGTTCTAAAATTTATATGAAAATACAAAAGATCTTGAATTGCCAAAACAATCTGGAAAAAGAAGGATAAAGCTGACCAACTTAAACTGATTTCAAGATATACTATTAACATACAGTGATCAAGACAGTATGGTATAAGCATAAGAACAAATCAAGAGATCAAACAAGAGAACACAAAGTCCAGAAACAGACCTACACATACATGGTCAATTGATTTTCTACAAAGTTGCCAAAGCAATTAAACTAGGAAAGAGAAGTCTTTCAATTATATCATTCACCCATTTATCTATTGAATCTGTGGTGACCTCTTGGTGCATAGGTTGACTCTCAACCACTGAGCCACACCAGCTAGACACAATAAAATATTTTTTAATTAAGGTATGTACATTGTTTTCTTAAACATATACTATTGTACACTTAATAGACTACAGTATAGTGTGAACATACCTTTTACATGCACTGGGAAACCAAAAAATTCTTGTGAATCACTTTATCATGATATTCACTTTATTGCAGTAGTCTGGAACTGAACGGACAATATCTCCAAAGTATGCTGTATTTTTCCATGCTCATTATAACCTTTCTCTATTCTACACTATGATCATTTTTCCTCATTTACATAACTTTTCCTGGTTAAGTAGCATCCTATTAAATAAATGCATCTTTTTAATTTGACCAGTCACCTATTAACTAGTTGTCTTCAATTTTTAAAAATATATCTTTTTTTAAATTTATTTTTTAGAGAGAGAGAAGAAGGGAGAGATAGAAACATTGATATGAGAGAGAAACATTGACTGGCTGCCTCCTGCACACCCCGAACTGGGGATGGAGTCTGAAACCTAGACAGACGTGTGCCTTGACCAGGAATTGAACTGGGATCTCTCAGTCCATGGGACGACCCCCAATCCACTGAACCATACTGGCCAGGCAAGTTGTCCTCAATTTTTCCAATATAAACAGCACCACAGCCCATCCAGCAGTATAAGCCCCATACTCGGAAGTCATCTTTCACACTGCCTTCTCTCTTTCATCCCCATAACCAATCCATCATCAAATCCTGTTCATTTTACTTCCGAGATCACACTCATATTTGTGTATATTTCCTACCTTTCCTGCTACCATTCTACTTCAAAATACCATCAATCTGCAAAAGCCTCCTGTTCTACCCACATCAACTTTGCTCCCACATTCATCCATCTTTTTCATTGCTGCTAAACTATAAACTGGATTTTGTCACCTAAAACCCTTCAATAGATTCCTGTACATTTAGGGTAAAATTCAAAACACAGAACTCAAGGCCCTACATCTCTGGATCAGGTCTACTTTATGCCGCTCTCTATTTTTCTCTCTGCATTCTAGCTATACTAGCCTTCTCCCAGTTTTCCACTATCATACTATAATAATGGTTATCACTTACTGTGTGTTTACCATATACCTAGTGGTTTACATGAGTTATCTCATTTATGCTGGCAACAAGGTAAATACTACTGATACTCCTTTTGTACAGATGAGGAAACTGAAGCTTATAAAAATTAAGTAATTTGCCCTGGCCAGGTGGCCCTCTTGGTTAGAGTAAAGGTTAAAATAACTGCTCTAGACCTTTGACCATGTAATTCAAACTTGGTAATTTTATCAAAACATCAAAAATAGCCTTGGCCAGTGTGGCTCAATTGGTTGGGCGTCATCTCATGTACCGAAAGACTACCGGTTCAATTACTGGTCAAGGTACATGCCCAGGTTGTGGGCTTGATCCCTAGTAGGTGGCGTGCAGGAAGCAGATTGATGTTTTGCTCTCACATTGATGTTTCTCTCTCTGTCTCTCTCTGTCTCTCTCTCTGTCTCTCTCTCTGTCTCTCTCTCTCTCTCTCCCCCATCTCTCGCTAAATATCAATATAAAAAATCTTTGGAAAATAAAAATATATAAATGAACTTTTAAAATGTTTTTGGCAGTTAATGAATAGAGAGATAAACTAAGATAGAAAGGAATTTTGGGGATTACTCATCATTTTGATAAATAAGCAATCTAAAGCCCAAATTGTCTTGTCCAAGTTGCACATTAAGCTAATAGCAATGCAAACCATTAACTTTCTGCCCAGTGCTTGGTTATAGTGTGTTTCAATCAAGTGGATGAACTCAATTTACTAGTGTCTTGTGTTTTGAACAAGGTTTAAAAGAAACAATAAAAACTTTCACATAAAAGAGTCTGTTTCTAATTAATATCATATTGATAATAAAGTCCTTATCCTTCTAATCAAAGTGGCTTATCATCTGCATTTCAAATTTAGAATAAAGAGAATACCTTTTTAGTCCATCTTTTTACTCCATTATAGCCTTTGGTTACCAGCTGTCTGTGAAAAAAGCTGTTGAAGAAGTGAACCTAGAAAAGACATCAAATACAAGCACCCAAATGATATCAGTCTGTGCCCAGATTCAACTTTTAAAAAAAAGGATATTTAAAAATCCTTGAATATAAGACAGGCATTACATGGTTCACAAAAGATTCTGTTCCAAATTTTCATTAGAATGATCTTATAGCTGTGGTCTATAATTAGAACTGGAATGGGCAGTAAATAGATTACCTGAATCCAAATAAGTAGAGAAGCAACCTGACAAATTTCTCCAATTCAGTTTATAAAGTTAAAAGAGGCTATAAAAGAATGAGGAAATGATTACCTTGAACTAAAGGGACACAGATTACAAAACTAACCTCATATGAAGAATGTGAATTTGGAGACTCTTGTGGTCATAACTGCTATTTAAAAAAAGGCCTTAATGTAATCATTTCTAGCATTAAAAGAAATACTCTGGCCCTGGCTGGTTTGGCTCAGTGGTTAGAGCCTGCGGACCAGAGAGTCTGGGTTCAGTTCCTGCTAAGGGCGTGTACCTCGGTTGCAGTTTGTCCCCGGCCGCGGTTGGGGTCGTGTGGGTGGCAGCCAGTCAATGTGTCTCTCTCACATCGATGCTTCTCTCTCTCTCTCTTCCCCCCTCTCTCCCTCCCACTCTATCTGAAGATAAATGCAAAAATGTCCTTGGGTGAGGATTACAAAAAAAAAAAAAGAATTACTCTGGTGGACCAGCTGGTGTGGCTCAGTGGATTGAGCATCAACCCATAGACTGTGAGGTCCCAGTTTGATTCCAGGTCAGGGCACATGCCCGGGATGCAGGCTCAATCCCCAGTAGGGGACGTGCAGGAGGCAGCCGGTCGCTGTTTCTCTCTCACATTGATGTTTCTATCTCTCTCTCCCTTCCTTTCTCTAAAAAAATCAATACAAAAATATTTTTTATTTTTTTATTTTTTTTAAATCCTCATCCGAGGACATTTTTCCATTTTTTGTACAGACAGAGTGGGAGGGAGAAGAGGAAGAGAGAGAGAGGGAAACATCGATGTGAAAGGGACACATCGAGTGGCTGCCACCCGCACGACCAACCAGGGCCGGGGACAAACTGCAACCGAGGTACATGCCCTTAGCGGGAACCGAACCCGGGTCTCTCCGGGTCGCAGGTGGACGCTCTAACCGCTGAGCCAAACCGGCCAGGGCAAAAATATTTTTTAAAAAATAAGAATTACTCTGGTCATATGGAGCATCGTGCTCTGCATCTCTGGCTTCAAATTTCTGGCTGATAAATTAATATCAGCTCACCTGAGATAGTCAACTATTGTGGTCTTAAGTGTTATATCAGTAACTCTGACTCACTTGAGATGATAAAATTGTTCTATTACGGCTAAGGTTCTTGGGATATGGTCACCAGACCTCACGCATTATCAGCATCACCTTGGAACTTGCCAAAAATACAAATTCTAAGGCCCTACCCCAGACCTACTAAAGTAGAAATTCGAGGTTGGAGCTCAGAAATCTGGTTTTATAAACCTTTCAGAGGATTCTGATTACATTTATTTTGAGAACCATGTAGCTCAAGATATAGATTTTAAAAGGAGCTTATAGCCCTGGCCGGTGGTTAGAGCACTGGCCCTTAGACCAAAGGGTCTCTAACTGGATTCCTGGTCAAGGGCACATTCCTGGGTTGCAGATCTGCTCCCCAGCCCTGGTTGGTCCGGGCAGCTAAGGGCACATGTGGGAGGCAACCAATGGATATGTCTCTTTCACATCAATGTTTCTCTCTCTCTCCTCACCCCCTTCCTCCCTTCCACTCTCTGTAAAATAATCAACGGAAAAATATCCTCAGGTAAGGATAAACAAAAAATAAACAAACTATTAAACTTATAAAAGTTTATAAAGTATTTCAAAAGGTTTTGCTTGTTGAAATCAAAGACTGCTCTCCAAGCAATTTGAGTACTCAGAAAGAAATAATATATTAAATTTAAAAATATAGTTTCAATATGTAACTAAGACCTTAAGGGAATTTTATAATTTAAGGGGGTGTTAGTTTGTATTTGAACTGAGTATCAAAGGTTAATCCAAGATAAAGTGAAAATAAATACTTTACCACTTTTTTATTTTTTATTTTATTCTTTTATTCCTCACCCAAGGATATTTTTCTATTTATCTTCAGGTAGAGAGAGAGGGAGAGAAAGGGATAGAGAGAGAAACATCGACATGAGAGGGACACATCGACTGGTTGCCTCCTGCATGATGCCGACCAGGGCCAGGGATGAACCGCAACCTAGGTACGTGCCCTTGGCTGGAACTGAGTCCGGGATTCATTGATCCACGGGCCGACGCTCTACTGCTGAGCCAAACTAGCCAGGGCTGATGTTTCTCTTTCACAGAGATGTTCCTCTTTCTCTCTCTCTTTCTCTCTCTCTAAAAAAAATCAATAAAAACATTAAGAAAAACAGAGAGTAAGACTAAGTTAAATATAGAAGCTTAAAGCAAATAGTCCCTTTTGTGCATCTCCCACTAAGAAAAAACTTTCTCAAGATATCAACAAACACACCCACTTTGAAACAAATAAGTAGGAAAATACTGGCATTATGACTTCCTTATGCAGAAGTGATTTTGTAGAACATATGCCCAACCCTAGCACATGATCAAGACAAAATTAAACATTTTTAAAAATCTACGGAATATCAAATAATTACATAAAGTTAAACAAACAAACAAACAAAAAACCCCGCAAAAAACTTATTTTAATATACAAAGACTCTCGCTCCTAAAGAAGAGTAAGTTTTCACTTACTTTGTCCGGGACTGCATCCATTATCAGCTCACCATACATATTAATGACCTATAAAAAGCCAACATAACACCAGCTTACTAACCCTATACAATTCAGAACATCCCACCCAGAATGATTAACATATTGATACTACTAACAGTAATCAAACTTTTTAGATAGTGGGGTTAGTGAAAGAGTCACTTCAGTAAAGAATAAGTAATCCTTGATTCCAAAAGATAACTGTGAGGCCAACCCAGAAGTTATTAATATTTTATGGTCTAGCATCCTCTGCAACTTTTCCACGATGAGAACCTACAATACACTAACCTGGTCATTCAGCCAATTCTGACCATCCAGTGTCGCCAGATCATCCATATCCAGCATGTGCTTATTGTAAAAGACACGGAAGTTGCATTTTTGATGTCTGGCCCGATAGTTTGTTATTTCCCTATTGATAAATGGTTTTCTGAAACAGAAAGATTTTGAAATAGAAGATTAAAAACATGAGTTCTACTCAATTTATTGCTAAATATATATTTTTTAATTGAGAAAAATGTCATATATGCCAAGAATTTTATTTTCAAGGGCTTAAGTTAAACATCACTGACAAACCTATTAGAAAAGTCTTCATTAAAGACATCTTTTAATCTTCCAAGGACATCTTTTTCACTGAGTGGGACCAAACTGCCATACTTCTTCATAACCTCATCTAGGAATCCTTAAATAAAGAAAGAAAAATTAAAATGGAAAAAACATTTTCAGCAGGCATTTTCCCAGTTCTTACCTATATGTAATACTTAACACACATTTAACCTATATTACTACATATATTATATTACTAAAAAAATCTTTTATTTTATTTTTTTATTTTTTATCCTCACCTGAAGACATTTTTCCATTTTGTTCAGATAGAGCAGGAGGGAGAGAGAGAGAGAGAAACATCGACGTGAAAGGGACACATCGAGTGGTCGCCACCCACACGACCAACCAGGGCCGGAGACAAACTGCAACCGAGGTACATGCCCTTAGCGGGAACCGAACCCGGGTCTCTCTGGACTGCAGGCCAACGCTCTAACCACTGAGCCAAACCAGCCAGGGTTAAAAAAAAAAATCTTTTAAAAGTTACGTTTTGTGCCTGGTTGGTGTGGGTCAGTGGTTGAGTGTCGATCCATGCACTAAGAGGTCGCCGGTCTGATTCCCAGTCAGGGCACATGCCCAGGTTGTGGGCCAAATCCCCAGCGGGGGGCATGCAGGAGGCAGCCAATCTATATTCTCTCTCATCGATGTTTCTATCTCTCTCTCCCTCTCCCTTCCTTTCTCTCTAAAATCAATAAAGGAAAAAAAGTTATGTTTTGTAAAAAAAATAAAATAAAATGAATCTGCCCTCACCATTTCAATATAGAGAAATGCTCTAAGACATCATTTCACATTGGGTTTCTAAGCTGCTAATGCATTGTTAGAGAGAGAATGACTAGCTAAAACTAAAGACTGACTTTATTCAGTAGCTTAACTTTGCAGTAGAATCATATTTCCTAAAGAGTGAAATCTAAAAGGCTTAGTTATCAGATTAAATGTGTCTATCACATTTGATAACTGAAGGAATTCTCTCTCTTTTTTAAAAATATGTTTCCAATGATTTTTTAGAGACAGAGGAAGGGAGAAAGAGAGAAGCATCGATGTGAGGGAGAAAGATCTATTGGCTGCCTCCTGCACACCCCCTACTGGGGATCAAGCCTGGAAGCCGGGCATGTGCCCTTAATGGAAGTCAAACCAGGACCTCTCAGTCCATGGGACAACACTCAATCCACTGGACCACATTGGCTGGGCAGGAATTATCTTTTTTTCTTTATTAACCCTCACCTGAGGATATTTTCCTATCTATCTTCAGATAGAGTGGTAGGGAAAGGGAGAGAGAAACATCGACGTGAGAGGGACACAATCCGGTCAGGGCACATGCCAGGGTTTCAGGCTTGATCCCCAGGAGGGGGGTGTGCAGGAAGCAGCTGATCAGTGTTTCTCTCTCATTGATAATCCTTTCTCTAAAAATCAATAACACATATTTTTTGTTGTCATTGTTAATCCTCACTCGAGGATTTTTTTCTCTCCATTGATTTTTAGAGCAGGTGGAAGGGAGGGACAGGCGGGGGGGGGGGGGGGGAAACAAACATCCGGTGAGACATAGCAATAGTGCCCTGGCTGGTTTGGCTCAGCAGTTAGAGCGTCAGCCCGAGGATCAGAGAGACATATCAATAGTTTGCCTTCCATACTCTCCCTGACCGGGGCTGGGGATTGAACCTGCAATCCAGGCATGTGCCCTTGACCAGGAATCAAATCCAAGATCCTTTGGTGTGTGAGCAGACACTCTAACCACTGAGACACACCAGCCAAGACAATAAAAACACATTTTTTTTTTAAAAAAAATCACAATTAGAGGGAATTAATTGCTGAGATCACTGTCAAAGTATCATTTGGTAAAGGCGTATAATTTCTCATCTCACAGCAAGGGACAAATTCTAAGGCATTACTATATTCTGAATAACACAGAGGTAAGCTTAACTGGATAACAGCCGGTGACGCATATTTTAAGAAAGGAGACAGAATTAAGGATGACTTCTTAGCAAGAATACAGGATAGTCTTCAGGTCAATTTAGGTAATATGTATATGCATTTTAATGGCTTCCAAAATGATGAACTGAATATACCTAAAAAGGCCCTAGGAAATAAAACCAAGATATTATTCTAAGGAAATACAAAGAAGCTGAGAAAGGCTGAGAGGCTCACAAAAGTGCAAATATGACTTGTGCTATTCACTGATGCTGACCGGGGAGAACAGCAGCCTGGCTAATCGTCAATCTGACAGTTAAGTCTACTAGGTTAACATGAGGAAAATAAGGACAATCGCCATTTAATTAGCTCCCTTTCTAACTTCACATCAATACAAAATGAATAGGAAGGACCACAACAAAGTGACTGTCAGGAATGGAGTGTTTTGAATGGGGGAGGGGCAGAAAAGATTGTGAAAAAACTGTTTTTCCTCCTCTTGGTCTCTCATCAGAGTGGCTCCCAATTGGAAAGGCTTAAGACAAGAGCAAAGGTCAAGGTATAGTAAATAACAGAACTATTTGCTTATGCCTGGTTCTGGTTTAGGCTTTAGGTATACAGAAGAGAAATAAGGGGGTCACATGTTCCAGATTAATCAGAGTAAGAGATAGAGATCTGGGGCTTCTAAACTAGGAATAGAGCATATATTTGCCTACAACATTTACTATATCATATCTTACAGTTATCTAAACACAGTCTTGTATGTACAAGGGAGAATGGGCCCAAATAGAAGGAATCCAAACATCAGAGAAACTGCATTTAAGCAACAAATTTTATATAAAAATAATGCCCCTAATAACAAAAGATTAAACTTTAGGCCAGCAACCTAAATCGAGACTTCTCAAATAAGAAAGCAGGCTCGTCTATCATGGGTATATGGACTCCAATTCCAAGTAAGTATCATGGCAAAGAGTTGTCCTTTGTTAACAATGTTATTTCTAGATGGTAGTAGTTGGGGAGATTTTAAGTTGTTATATTTTTCTCCCTTATCTGTATTTTTGTATTCACTTTCGGATGATAAGTATGGATTCCTAATGCATAGAAAAGCCCTACCTGAATTTTCAAGGAGAACTCTAGATGACAATGTCTCACTGATGCACACCATTAACTCACTGGGACCATAAGCCAAGCACTAGCATATCTCACTTCATCCTTGTACACATCCTATGTGTTAGTATCTCTACTTTACAAATGGCAACAGGAAGCTTAGGGAGGTTAAGTAACTTTCCCAAGGACCCTTAACTAGCAAATGTCAGAACTAAGACTCTGACTGCAGGTCAGGTGACCACAGAAACTGAGCAGTTAGCTCTTTTTTTAAAGATTTTTTAAATTGAGCCCTGGCCACTTTGGCTCAGCAGTTAGAGCATCAGTCTTCGGACCAAAGAGTCTCAGGTTTGATTCCTGTCAAGGGCACTACCTCATTTGAGGTTCAGTACCCAGAGTTGTGTGGGAGGGAACCAGTCGATGTATCTCTCTCACATCGATGTTTCTCTTTCTCTCCCTCCCTCCCACTTTATCTGAAGATAAATGTCCTCAGGTGAGGATTTAAAAAATACTTTTTTAAATTGATTTTTTAGAGAGAGAGGAAGAGAGGAGAGAGAGACACATCAATGTGAGACAGAAGCATCCAGTAGCTGCCTCCTGCACGCTCCCTACCGAGAATTAAGCCCGAAACCGAGGCATGTATGTACCCTGACTGGGAATCGAACCAGGAACATTTTGATGAATGTGACGCTCCAACCAAGGGAGCCACACCAGCCTAGGTCCATTATTCTTTACCCACTTGCTATCACCAAACTAATAAACCAAAAAGGAAAAGTGCATTTTGAATACAATATCTTTTACTTCAAAAGTACTAAGATTTCAATGTGACCAAGAAACAAAGGATAAAATGTTAGGGAGAAAACAACAAAGAACTACAGTTCAAATTACAGTCCATCCTGCAAGTACAAAAGGTAATAATATAAAAAAATAAAACCTGAGGTGTTATTTTATAAGTTAAATTACTCATATTGGACAGTTTTTTCTTGAAACAACATCCCATCCTAAAAGTGGTTGTGCACATAAGAAATGCAACCACTTGGTTCTCTAACAAAATACAATACACGTCAGAAATAAAAATTTAAAAAAAGGAAGGAGCCCAGCCAGTGTAGCTCAGTGGTTGAGCGTTGACCCATGCACCAAGAGGTCACCAGTTCGATTCCTGGTCAGGGCACATGCCCAGGTTGTGGGCCAAATCCCCAGTGGGGTGCGTGCAGGAGGTGGCCAATTGATGTTCTCTCTCATCCATGTTTCTATCTCTCTTTCTCCCTCTCCCTTCTTCTCTCTCTAAAGTCAATAAGAGAAAAAAAATTAAGGAAGGAGCTGATGTATTGTAGAACTGTATGCCTGAAACCTATATAATTAACCAATTTCACTCCATTAAATTCAATTAAAGAAATTTTTTTAAGAAATATGAAAAGCACCCGGCCAGTATGGCTCAGTGGATTGAGCATCGTCCCATAGACTGAGAGGCCCGGGTTTGATTCCCGGTCAGGGCACATGCCCAGGTTGCTGGCTGGATCTCCAGTTGGGGGCATGCAGGAGGCAGCCAATCCATGTTTCTCACATCAATGTTTCTATCTCTCTCTCTAAAAATCAATAAACACATTTATAAAAGAAAAGAAAAGAAATACGAAAGGCATGAAATACAAGAATAACCTTAAGGATTGTGCAAACTTAAGTAAAAAGCACTATAAAATTATATTAAATGATATATTGGTCAATAAAGGAGTAATTCTTTGTTTTTAGACAGGAAAACACAAATATTGTAATGAATGCAATTTTCCCTAAAGCTATAAATGTAATACAAGTTAAAACCCATGATTTGTTTTTTAATTTTTTTGTTTTTGTTGTTAATCCTCACCAAACATAGATTAATTTTTAGACAGAGTAGAAGGGAGGGGGAGGGGGAAGGAGAGGGGGAGGGAGAGGGAGAGGGAGAGAATCAATTGGTTACCTCCCGTACAACCCCAACTAGGCTGGGGATCGAACCTGCAACCCAGATATATGCCCTTTACTGGCCATGGACATGTTTTGTTATTTTGAATCCAAAACAATTCAAAATTCATTTTGGGG